AAATCAATTAGCAACAAATCAGTAAAAAAAAAAAAAAAAAAAAAAAAAAAAGATGGATTACATAATATGATATTGCAATAAGTGGGCAACCATCTGAAAAAAATTAAGTTGCATCTCTAGTTCATATTTTAAAAGCAAATAAATTCCAGGTAGATAAAAAAATTTAAACATAAAAAATAAAGCCACTAGATGAAAATGCAGGGCTTTTAAACAATCTGAAAGAGATAAGACTTTTCTACCTGTGAAAAGGTAGAACACAGAAGAAAAAAAATAAAAGACTGATAATTCCACCTGCATTAAAAAAATCTATGAGAAAAAGATACCACTAAAAAAGTACAAGAAAAATAACAAATTGAGAAACAGTTTAAACTCATATCACAAATGATCAATTTCTGTTATAACAAGTTTCAACAAATCAATAAGAAAAAGACAACCAACCCAATAGAAAAGTAGGAATAATATATTAACAGATCACAGAACTGGAAAGAAAGTGGTTTTAAAACATATATATTAATAAAAGAAATACAAATTAAAACTATAATGAATAAAAGTTACTTATCAGATTGGTATCTAGTACAATCCATGAAAAACAAAAACACTTAACAGAAAATTATCCCTACCAGAGAGGGCAGCATAATTTTCTGTTAAGTGTTTTTGTTTTGCATGGATAATCAGGATATTTGCAATGGCTTCTGACACCAACTGGCTAAAGTTAAGCCAAACTTCACAGGTTAGGGGCCCAATTCTCCATATGACTGACTGCCCTCACTTCAGAACTAGCAGCAACTTTGGGCACTCCCAGAGCCATCCTTACTTCTGACCAACTGGCTGCAAGTTCAGGGGTTCCCGCAATGCCTTCAGGTTCGATAATTAGCTAGAACAACTCACAGAACTCAGCAAAGTGCTATGCATACAATTATAACAAAAGGATACAAATCAGAACAGCCAACAAAAGATATACATAGAGCAAGGTGTAGGAGGATCCCAAACACAAAGTTTCTGTGTCCTTGGGGAAACATCACCCTCCTAGAACATGCAGAGTACTGCCAACCAGAGAAGTTCACTTGAGCATCACTACCAGAGCTGCTGCTTTCATTACAGGCATGACTGATTGACTCAATCTCTATGTAAAGCTGAACTCAAATCTCAAGCCCCTCTCTCCACCTCAGAGGTTAGGCTAATATCATATGACTCAAAACTCCAACCCTCTAATCCGATGGTTTGTCTTCTGGTGTGGCCAGCACCTATCTGAGTCATCTTGTAGGCATAATTATCAGAGCTCACTATGAATAACAAGATACTTCTATCACCTAGAAAATCACAAGGATCTAGACCTGGAACCTGGAGTGGAGGCAGTTTGAGAGGAGGGGAGGAGCCTTGGCAAATTATCGATTACAGTCTTAATTTCAGCCTTGTCTGTATTAGCAAAAGACTGGAAGCTAACAATGTCCAGTAACAGAACTGATTCTTTAAAAAAATCAAAATACATCCATATAATGGAGTTCTATGCAATCAGTGAAAAAAAAAATGGGACAATTCTGTAAGTAGGGCTACAGAATACATTGCTGAATGTGCAAAGTCTGTATGCTATGCTATAATTTGTGTTTCACATATATGTATGTTTATATGTGCATGGGGCCATTTCTAAAAAGATAACTGGTAAGAGGTTAGATCAGGGAAGGGAAATGACTGGGAGGAGGACTTTTCTCCACCTTTTTCAACTTTCTGGTTTTTGTACGATGTACACGTATTACCTGTTTAACAAGAAGAAAACATTGCAAGGTTTTAGCATACCTCTTTGAGGTTACTAAACGTAATTTATAACTTAATATTTTCTTGATTACCATCGGGCACTGTCATAAATATATTGAGCAATAAAGCTCTTAAGAGTCTACTGAGATACACAGGGCTGCTTTCACCTACACTAAAGGACCCCAGGCTGCTGCAATTTGAGTGTTACTGTCACTTCCAGTTTTTCTATCTTTTCCCAGCTGCTTCCTACTACTGTCAACATTCCCTCCTCTAGCTGACTAGAAACTTCTCTTTTAAATTGGTGCATCTAGCTGTGGCAGGCCAAGAAACAAGACACATGGCCCTATTACAGGACTACACAAAATAAAGAGAAACTGCTTCTGTGAGAACTTGAGAAATCCTCTTGTCATTGATGTTTTATAACAACTACTTAACTAGTCCAAATTTTTACACAATACCAAGTTCCATACAACTGAACAAAGAACAGACGAGGCATTACTGAAGTCACTACGGGCAGTTCTATTATTTGATACTACACTGCTAAGTACAGATTTGAGACTTTTTCAGCATTACCTTCATTCATTCACTCAGAAATGTTTTTGAGCATCTAGTATTCACCAGGGACTGTCCTAGTATTAGGCATACGGCAATGAACAAGAGACAAACTCCCTTAAAATTTATATTCTAGAGAGATGACAAAGATAAACCAGCCAAGTACAACAAAGAAAAAAGGGGATAATATGACAGAACTAGGATGGGGAATAGCATTAGATAGGATGGTATGTTAATCAGGGTCTGACCAGAAAAGAACCACTAGAATCAAACACACATACACACATCTTAATATTCAAAATAAGGGACTTATTATAGGAATTATAGGTGGCCTTTTTTGTGCGTTTGTTGGCTGGAAAGGGAAGACATGGGGAATGGGGAAAGCAAGGAGCCTGCTAGGATGAGAACCTGTGGGAACGGAGTGGAACTTGTGAGGACAGACTGGAAGCCATACAGGTCTTTTGCTGCCTCCAACCCTCCAGTGCCAATGATGGGGTTGTCCAGCGAAAGCTGGCACCCTTTGTCAGAGTAAAATGCACCCCTGACTCAGGAGCCAGAGAAGCTGGAGGAGGCATTCCCACAGGAGCTGGTGTTCCTGTGGGCCTGACTGTTGTCCCTCAGGCCAAGATGAGCCAACGGATAAGCAATAAAGTGGATAAGCTGCAACAGTGCCTTGTGCCTTGTTTGGTCCTTTCACTTATAAAGAGAATCCAGATCTGGCTGCTGCTTTACTTCGGCTTTCTGTATCTTGTATTAAACATTTCTTACGGCCCACATTGTCCTCAAATTATACATGGAGAGAGTTCTGGGGAACACATTTCCAGGCTGACTAACCTGCACCATATAAATCCACCACAGATGGTGTGAGTTCTCTAAAAGACATCCTCTGAGCTGAGAACCTGAAGGATGAGGATTCAGCCAACCAACGATTCCAATATTTGGGAGAGAATGTCCTAGACAGAGAAGATGGCTGAGTATCTGAGGTGCCAAGTATCTGAGGCTATGATATAAGCTACATCTTTTTATGCTGAAGGACAACGAGGCTGGGATATGTGTGAGAGAGAGTGGTACAAATTAAGAGATAAGAGATAACCAGATCATATGGGCCTTGCAGAACATGGTAATGAGCAAGGACTTTTTCCTAAGTGCAAGAGAGGTAAATGGAGTTTGTTTTTTTTTTTTAATCAGGGACGTAGTAGTTTGATCTGATTTATATGATTTTAAAACTTTTTGAAATAATTTCAAAGTTACAAAAAAGTTATAAGATTAGCACAAAGAATTTTTGTATGCTCATCATCCAGATGATTTCCATTTTTAGGAGATTGTTTTGGCTACACTGGGGAGAATGGCCCTAGTGGGCAGAAACACTTCTTTCCTTACCTCCAGGCTTCATGGCACTCCTTACAGCACAATACATATGATCCCCCTGGAGCTGGGCAGAAAGCCGGCCAAGTGTGGAAGCAGTAATATTACTTAGAAAGCTACTGCAAGAGATCAAGCTGCAGTGCTTCTACCACACTATTTCAGATCACAGAGGGAAACCAATCTCATTATTTTACTCTCAGTTCACAAATACACGTTGAAAGAAAAAAAACGGTATTACCTCTCTGGATCTGGCTACTTCTGACAATCATAGCAATTCTCAAAAACAAACAGAAACAACCTCATGATTTAGTACCACAGAAGCTACATAAGAAAATGTTTCACAGATAATTCCAGGTCTCCAGTTTCCAAAGAACGTGCAGTCTCCTAGAAGAAACATGTTGAAGGAGCCCAGGTTCATGTCGATAGATAGGTTCTAGTCTCATTATTTTAGAGGTGATCTCAGGTTTGTGTATCTCCTGTGTTTATCAGATGTGACTTACTTTACTGGAGATCATAAACAATTACCCTAAAGCAAGGTCTTCTTCCTTGATGAACGCTCCTGCTAGTAATTCTGGCTAAAAGCCAGGTTCAAATATTGAAGTGTGCTGAGGTCTTACAGGTATGCAAGCTCATTTTCTGATTTCAGCGTAATTCCAGTTTTAATGTTCACATCAACAGCGAAAATTATGGACAGCAATTCATTCTCACTAAAACACAGCTAATACATGTTCATTAAATCATGAAGGTAAAGTGGAAAAACTAGTTTGGTGACCTTAGAGAAATCATTTATTCTCTCTTATACTCAGTTAAATGGGAGCTTGGCTCCCATTTAGTAATAATGAAAGTAAAATGCCTAGTGCATCACAGTAGGCACCCATCTCATCATACACACATCAATAAAAATAAACATCTAGGCCGGGCGCGGTGGCTCAAGCCTGTAATCCCAGCACTTTGGGAGGCCGAGGCGGGCGGATCACGAGGTCGAGAGATCGAGACCATCCTGGTCAACATGGTGAAACCCCGTCTCTACTAAAAATACAAAAAATTAGCTGGGCATGTTGGCGTGTGCCTGTAATCCCAGCTACTCAGGAGGCTGAGGCAGGAGAATTGCTTGAACCCAGGAGGCAGAGGTTGCGGTGAGCCGAGATCGCGCCATTGCACTCCAGCCTGGGTAACAAGAGCGAAACTCCGTCTCAAAAAAATAAATAAATAAATAAACAAACATCTATTTTTTAAGGGAAGAAAGGAAATGTTCATTAATAAAGCTCTGGATAAACCATTCTTCTTTTAAAAAAATGTAAAAACACATAAAAAAGCATTATCTGACAAAATAGAAAATATTTTTATCTTTAATTAGAGTTTGTAGTATACACTTAACTTTCTGTAATCTGCAGTGATGAATCTCGATGTAAACATTCAGAAAAAGAGGGGATACTGTGCCATGACTTACAAACTATAAATTTTGTCCCTGATAACTAGTCAACAACAATTTTATACACTTATTAACAACTACTTTCCTCCACTTAACAATGGCTCTTGAATAACAAAATAAATTATCAGCAATTTCAACCACAAATTTAAGAATTAAAAGTTTAAAAAACTTGTTTCATATATGCAAGCAGAGTAATAAATTTCATATACATTAAATTCAGTCATTTATGTTCTTTGAATAAAGTAACACAAAGATTTTTCCCTTCCCCTTTTGGCAAGTTCACAAAATTTATGAAACAGCTTCACCTTTTTCCTTTTTTGCTTAATTAACCTCAGCTGAACACAACAGGCATTAGCTGGGGTTATTAGTGAGACATGATAAAAGAAAAGGTTATGACCACTCAGACGATCATGGAAACCTAAAACATAACTCAGACTTTCTAGTCTTAACCTGTAGCTCTAATTTACTAAATGATTTACAAAGAACTAATAAAGAAATGATTTAATAAGCAGGTCGAACTTTGTAACTTTGTCATTTTGCAAGTCACAAATCCACATTCTGACCTGAAAATGATGCAGAATACTAGTTATTTCCCATGAGACTAGGTGCAAGGGAAAACAAAGACAAAGCCATAGGTATTTTTTAAGCTACACTACATTATTTTAGCTATTAAAAGATTTAACTACCAGATCAGTGCATTGTTTCTTGCTTAAAGTAGATAAAAATATTTTTAAAATAAGCCAAAAGTAAAAAGAAAAAGGCCTCAACAGCCTGACAAAGAGCAATAGAATAATTTCCAATCAGTGACTATTAATGGGAATACTTATTTTGTACAGCAAGTATCGACAACCATTTAGCAATTCTTTAATCAGGCACTTGATATTTTTTAGCTAGCATACTCAATACTGGGGCATCACACACACACAAAAGTATGGCTTTATTATAAAGGATTCAAGATGGCAACTACTTAGAATCCAGTGCCAACATGGATTATAACAAATCCAGTGAGTGTTTTGTTTTTCAATTATTCATAGAAAATTTAATCCTGATTAAGTATCCTTGGGCAGGAATTCATGGGTAGTTGATGACTGAAACCAACATTTATGTGAAATGCTTCTGTTAATTTAATCTGTGTATATGGCTTAATTATGATTGGGGATTCAATGTAAGAGAAATGAATTATATTGGGATTAAAATTTTAGTACCGTATCACATAGTACCTTTTCCCTTCTCTTTTTAAACACATAAACCTGCTTGTCCCTTCACCTAAGTGCCCAGATTTTAAAATCCTTTGTCCTTACAACCCGTGTAATATATTTTTTATTTTTTCATAAACTGTCAAAAACCTTTGCTAATCAAGCTAAGACCTGAACTAGAGCCAAAAATGGCAGAAAAAAATGGAGAGTAACTCCACCCACATATAAACAAAAGCTTATTCATTTAACTGTGAACTACTTTAAATTCATTTCCTGAAGTAATTTCAATTTCAATTCCTTTAAATTCAAATATGAAATGTACTTTCCTTAAAGCATAAAAAGCAGCATTTTTAAAAATCAAGATATTACACTGATTTCTTAACTGGACTAGTTTAGATATGTATAAGCAAGTAATCATTTAACTGATTACTTTTATAAGACTATTAAACCTGAGTTAGCTATTAAGATGAGGCATTATAAGTGGTGAATATTTTACCAAAATATCATATAGTTATTTTTCACATTTATTTCCATATAGAAATTGCTTCAGTCATTTTATTACATCACTTTCTTCAAAGCCTGTTTAAGTACATTTCAGAACATTTCATTTATTACCTTTTTTTTTTTCAGTTTTGGTACTGCCTAAATGCAGTTATATAAATAACATGCTCTGCTTTCGCTGTTCAAGTTTTCACACCAAATGTATGAAGAAAAGTCACTGTATTTGGATCCTTATTGCACTCTTTTAACCAATTCACTTTTCCTCTTAACAAAAATCAAGTATCAGAAATGGGGGCGACTTTTGTGTCCAGATGATATGGTCAGTGGTAGTGTTACTGAGGAAAGTGAAGAAACTTCCCAGTATAGACTGTGAGACAGAAAGAGTCTGTAGAGAATAACCATGGAGACGGACTGGCAAAGGATAACACCTATCGTAATGACCTGAAAAGAAAAGGAAAGAAATGCTTTGACTGCATGCAGAAACAGAGAAATAATATTCGGTTGATCATGAATCTATATAAATGCAATACTCTATCCTTCATCTTTGCCATAGATACATTTTATCAAAAAAGTTTTCTGACTAATGTTCAGAACTCTTACTGTTTAAGCATAAAAATTCCTTTATCTCTTAGTTTGTAGATGACAAAGTAAGGCACAAAAGAATAACTTGCTAAACCATTTGCTCCTAAGGGTAAGCACTATAAACAAGAGTTTCAGTAAATAAGAAAAATCAGGTTCCTAGCTAGTTTATTAGTAGGAATAAAGCATGCTCCTACCTGAACTTTAAAGAGTACTCTAAAAGCCCTTTCAAAAATTCTCAAGTTGCTTCTCTATTTTTATAGACTACCGTCCTGTCTGTTCACTCTTTGTAAATACCTCAGGCTCAATAAACATTTGTGCATTCGCCGGGCGCGGTGGCTCAAGCCTGTAATCCCAGCACTTTGGGAGGCCAAGGCGGGTGGATCACGAGGTCGAGAGATCGAGACTATCCTGGTCAACATGGTGAAACCCCGTCTCTACTAAAAATACAAAAAAAAATTAGCTGGGCATGTTGGCGCGTGCCTGTAATCCCAGCTACTCAGGAGGCTGAGGCAGGAGAATTGCCTGAACCCAGGAGGCGGAGGTTGCGGTGAGCCGAGATCGCGCCATTGCACTCCAGCCTGGGTAACAAGAGCGAAACTCCGCCTCAAAAACAAAAACAAACAAACAAAAAAAAAACAAACAAAAAAAACCATGTGTGCATTCAAACACATACTGCATTGCTTGTCAAAGGGCTCCTGGCATAATTCTATTTTGAAATGATGGAGCCATTCACCTAAGAAGGTAGGTATCAGCACAACCAAAATGTGTCATACTTCAGCAAGGCACTCTGGTTTGTAGTCTCTTAAAGCAACTAGATAAAACAAAATATCTATTTTAAAATTCTCTATTTTAATTTCTAAAATAAGCTGAAACAGAATAAAGAAAACTATTTCCACATTTGGCTTATAAATATTTTTAAAATATTTTAAATTTCTAACTTATATACTTACTGGTTTACTATTTTGTTTCAAAGTTTTAAACAACACAGAAAATGTCTAAAAAATAAATAGGTTCCTCCTATTTAAATATTTCTCCCAATTAAGACTATATTTTCATTAATAACTACTTTGATCATGTATATTACTACTTACCTTGTCCCTTTGGTAGTCACTAAAAATGACAGAAATGCATGCAAGAACTGGATGGCACAAAAACCACAAGACACAGCCCTGAAACAAATGAAACAGTGAAATAAGTACATGTATGTATTTTATTTTTTTCAGAATGTACCAGATTAAAAAAATGTTACTAGCATATTTAGGTCCTGATTAACCTCAACAGGCCTTTAGAGTAGAGCTTGCAAAAAAATGTAGAAATAAATTTACTGCTGCTGTGACATTTTTTGTTTCCAACCAAATGAGCATTTTTGGAGTATTTATAATCTTATGTTTATAAATCTGTTGCATACACATTTTGATACACTACAAATATATTACGTAACAAATTATTAAGTGACAAAAGCAAGGCACAAGTGTGTAATATTCCTGTAAAAAGAAAAAAGAATGTAAATTCATATTTGCATGCTGATACACAAAGAAATCCTGTAATAATACAGTAAAAAACATGAATAGTGGTTATTTGTTTGAGGAGTACAACAGAGGAAGGGAAGGGAACTGGGCAGGTAAGAAATGGGTAACTGTTCACCTTATACTTTTCAAATATTTTTCTATTCTTCCTTGAACCATGGCAATGTATTCTCTTTTCCAAACTTAAATTTGAAATAAAAAAATAAGTTAATAAATAGTAGCTGTTGAAATGCTTGGTACATTGAAGATATAGGGAGAAAAAACAAGATACAGAAAAATGTTTAGTGTGTTACTATTTGTAACATATATTTGTATATTACATTTGTAACACAGGCATATATACTTAAAACTCAAAAGATAAATTAAGAACTATTAGCAGCAACTGTATGAGGAGGTGAGAATAACTTTTTGCTACTCCTTAAATACTTTTGGATGTTTGATCCTATTCAGAAAGTTAAAGCGAAACATAAAATACTTTAAAAGTTGAAGAAAAAGTTTGCACTGCTTTAAACATAAAGCAAAATAAGAAAACGTAGTGCCTAAACACCTCAAATACATAGTAACTTATCAAGCAATAAGCACCACTGTCCCTGTGAAAAACTCAAAGGCAGCATGGCATCTTCTTGTCTGGTGCTCAGAGGCCTGAAGTTGGTTCCTAGGACTGCAGCAGCAGCTTTGCAATGCTCAACACTAGGAATAAAGCAGGAATTTAGCTCTCCTTCCATAGCTGCCTCAGAATAATGGTCAATGACTCTGGACGAGGTGGGCTCACTGAACAGAATCAGTCTGATCAGAATGCTGGTTTGAGGTGCTAAAATGAAGGGGTTTGGATTCTCTCAAACTGAAAGAAAAATGAAACCTTCCAGGGAGGGAGGCTTCTATAATGTTACCGCTCTAACCCTCCTAATGTCCTCCGTTACTAAACAGGCGTAGAAAAAAATCGAATTTGCTTTTAGATCTCACTAGCATAAGAAGGACAAGAAAGAAGGAATAAAGTGACATGACCTCACGTGGATGGAGTGAGGTGGCTGAAACACATGGACTCAGCCTCCTGGCTCCATCTGCTTATGCTGAAGGACAGCTCCTAACAGTTTATTAGAAAACATTGCATAACTCTGACAAAAACAGTTTATAGTCAATTTAAACTGTTAAGAAATCCAAACCACATCTGAATTTATTTTAGATATTTAAAATTCTGATATTACAGAAAAAAAAATATAAAATCCCTCTTGATAAAGAAGCCATGAACCAAGTAAAACTGATCTGCCAAAGGGTATACGGAAAATATTGTTTCGCAGGTCTTGTAAAAATGGGGATAATATCTGTAGCACGTAAATTACTAAGGTTAAGTGAGGTGAACCACATAAAGAACTTAAGGTAGCATCTGACTGTCACATAACATAATTTTTTTTTTCTTTTTTTTTTAAACAAGGTCTCACCCTGTGACCCAGGCTGGAGTTCAGTAGTGCAATCTTGGCTCACTGAAGCCTTCAACTCCCAGGTTCAAGGGATCCTCCCACCTCAGCCTCTCGAGTAGCTGAGATAACAGGTGCTCACCACAAAGCCCAGCTAATTTTTTGTAGAGATGGGGTCTCACTATATTGCCCAGGGTGGTTTCCAACTTGGGGGCTCAAGAGATCCACTTGTCTTGGCCTCCCAATGCACTGGGATTACAGGCGTGAGCCACCGTACCCGGCCCAGAAGTTTAATAAAAGTTATCATGTGGTTGTTTAGTAACTTCCCAAAGAAACCAGAATAAAGTAGGATAATCGGAAGAAACTATTTTCTTTCCAAACCCATACTTTGGCAAATGTGATGTAGAACTCCCTTTTGAGCGTACTTCTCTCCACTGTGATGATCTGATAGAGTCCACAGCCTAATGACAATGCTAGGCAAATTCGTAGAATGATTAGGAGGATCCCTGCTAAGTTGTGGTGTGAATGATAGCTATGATGACTGGTATCTTCAAACTGTTCCCAAAGTAGCAAAATACTCTGAAAAAAAAAAAAATACATTTAGAAAAAAAAAATCATATCTTATTACAATAAAGTACTTTTTTCAACTCTTTAATAAACATCCTTGAAATATTATATAAACATTTCTATCAGACCATAGAGGTTAATTAATAAAGTACAGTCTTTTCATCACTCTAATACCCTAAGCTAGTCAAAACGAATTTTTATCAAGTGAGACCACAGTTAAAAGATTTTTTAAAAATTCTACTGCTGTCATGATTCAAATAAGATATCTCTAAGGATGAAAATGAGCTGAAAAGGTTAAAAGAACAAACTTTCTTCTAAATCCATTTCCTTCTTACTTCAACACCATCACTGAATGTAAACCGTTCTGCATTCAAACCAGCTATCTCAGGGTAACTTTCAAGTATTTCAGTGTTTTTTGTATAATTCAGAAATTAAAAAGTCAGAATTGTTTATTTCAGACTTTATTATTTTTCACAGTAACCTCCCTTGGTAAAGGACAGCATATTTTTAATATTCACTATAAATCCTCAGGGCACTGTTATTTACCACTTTTTATTGACCTTTTCTCCCATATTGCTAACAGTAAAAAGCTCAGCTATTTTCAACAGAATATTCAATAGAAATCAGTGTCTACGTTCCCTCCATCGTCACTAAACGTCAATCACTTAACTTACTTTAATGTTTTAACCATTACAACACATATCTGTAGCTCTCAGTATTAAATCTAATTATTAGGTTTTATGAGGTTTACCAGCAACTTCTTCTTTCCTCATTCTCAGATCCTCTACCCTAATTTTAATCCTGCTACCATTCTTGTTAGGTAAACTCCTCTGTCATTATGACATGTAAAATTCCTTCTTGGGCCCAATATTTGCTCTGTTACTGAAAGTTTTATTCCTCCAAACCACCAAATTATACCCATCTGATTTCTTTCTTTCCTTTTTTTTTTTTTTTTTTTTGAGACAAGTCTTACTTTGTTGCCCAGGCTGGAGTGTGGTGGCACAATCTCAGCTCACTGCAACCTCCACCTTCCAAGTTCAAGTGATTCTCCTGCCTCAGGCTCCGGAGTAGCTGGAATTACAGGCACGAGCCACCATGCCTGGCTAATTCTTGTAATTTCAGTAGAGATGGGGTTTCACCATGTTGACCAGGCTGGTCTTGAACTCCTGACCTCAGGTGTCTCGCCCACCTCAATCTCCCAAAGGGCTGGGATTACCAGCATGAGCCACTGTGCCAGGCTTCCCATCTGATTTCTTAACTTACATTTCTAAACTTTACTTTTGCAACACAGAAGAGCTACTAGAGAGCTACCATAGCCCATGGTTCATATTTTACATATTTAAACTTCCCTGTTTTCATATACATACGGTAATATGTGATCTGTATAAAATATGCATGTATTGGCCGGGCGCGGTGGCTCAAGCCTGTAATCCCAGCACTTTGGGAGGCCGAGGCGGGTGGATCACGAGGTCGAGAGATCGAGACCATCCTGGTCAACATGGTGAAACCCCGTCTCTACTAAAAATACAAAAAACTAGCTGGACATGGTGGCGCGTGCCTGTAATCCCAGCTACTTAGGAGGCTGAGGCAGGAGAATTGCCTGAACCCAGGAGGCGGAGGTTGCGGTGAGCCGAGATCGCGCCATTGCACTCCAGCCTGGGTAACAAGAGCAAAACTCCGTCTCAAAAAAAAAAAAAATATGCATGTATTTGTATAGTCTGCCTGTCTGATCTGCCTTGTCTGGGCTGCTGTTGAAGATCAGAGCTATGTTTAATGTATTCTTCATAAATGCTCACATAAACGCTCACATAAACTCTAGTATAATATCATCTCAATTATCAATTCATATTTGTCTGACAGTAAATTAAAATTACAATGAAATGATAATAAAAATAAAATTTTTAAAAGGAAATGAAAAGTGAGAATTTACCCTGACATTGATACTACTCTCCGTAAGTCCTGGCTCAAAAACATTAAGTTGGTAGAATCTTAACCTTATTTTAATCAATTCTACTAATTCAATTATTTCTCATCAGCCCCTTTACTGGCACCATCTCCTTTCAAAATATCACCAACTGTGATATGGTCTCTTTCTCAAATGACTCATGTAAATTCAATACTGCCATTCCACTCAAAACCTACTGTACTAAATAAATACTAGGGATAGAAAGATGAATAAAGTATTGGTCCATCCTTCATTAATATATTTTTTTCAACTTACATAATGCATTAAACTTACATTATGATGCCTCTTTACAGAGCCCAAGTATATATTTCATTTTCATCTATAGCTAATGGTCATCAAAAACTCAGTATAAATTTTCGTCTTTAAACCTTTCTTCTTAGTTTTTACAAATCCATTGAACATAGGCATATGGATATCCTAGCATGTCAATACTATCAATATAGAGGAAAAGAAAAAAAGGCATTCAGGACCTTCATAAAAAATTGGTTTTGTTTTTGTACGTTTTCATACTTGCTTTCAAAAACAAGATTTCATTCTTTGTCTATATTTTGCCTTTTAATTAATCTTAGCTAATCACCTGAATTCTTTTATGTACAAAGTAGCCAATCCTAAAGATTCTTGATAATGGATAAATCTCAAAGTACTTACCATGTGCTAGGGAAATATGAAAGAAAGCCATTATTAAGTAGGAAGTAAGACTCCAACCTAGAATTAAACACACTGTGCTTAAATAAGCTGATAGGAAGCTCAAATTCAGGTAAATTATAATTAAATTCTGCAACCTACATATAGTAGCACCCAGATGATTAAGCTTATTTGATCTATCACTCTTTAAATTTATACTTTAAAATGACACAAGTTATAGAAGCTCAGGAATTTCAAGAAAACAAAAATGACACAAGTTCCTCATGGATCCCAGGTGTCAATTTTGAAATGAGGTATGCTCAAGTTTGCATTTCTGAGGATTACTAAGCAGAAACACTGAGTATCGACACTCACCTGTGTCATGACAATGAATACTGCAATTCCAGTGGACGCAGGGGTAGAATCCCACTGAAGAGGTCTGCTTTGAGACTTCTTCATTCTGACTATTGTCCAACCCATGCATAGACTCAAAAGTAGGTATAACATCTGAATTTGGGAAGCGATGTCAAAAACTAATGGGACATAAAAACCAACGTCAGCTAAGTTTTCACAATATAAAAAATTTAGTACTTTTTTTTTTTTTTAGATGGGGTTTCACCATGATGGCCAAGCTGGTCTTGAACACCTGACCTCAGGTGATCCACCCACCTTGGCCTCCCAAAGTGCTAGGATTACAGGCGTGAGCCACTGCACCTGGCAAAATTTAGCACTTTTTGCAGTAAGATGAGGACCTTTTTTTTTTAACCACAAAACCCATTTTCGAAGAGAAGCTAAGGAAATTCATAAAGAGATATTTGCATGTAATAATCCTAAAGAACTAAAAATTGCCATACATTTTGTATATATTTATAAGAATAGTTAAAACAGCAGCAATACTATTAAAAAATAAATATAAATTTGGCAGCTATCCAGTGTTAAAGAAAAAATAAAAAATAAAAATACATATATATGCCCATACCATGTCTATTAAGTCCAACCTTAACTCTCTTTGTTTTCCATTTTTCTTAGCGTTTCTAACTACATAATCCTGTTCTCTATAACTCACTGCTTATTAAAACAAAAAATTCTAAATATGATTTCTGCAATGTGGAGAATATGAGTACCTTCGTTTCTGGGTTATTATTTTTTTTTTTTTTTGATGGCTGAACTATAATGCGAAGAGTGTTTTTTAAAACTATTAACAAGAACAACACAATGAAATGCAAAGTTCCCAGAACATCCAAACATTGGCTTTCCTTTCAGAATCCTGAAGACAAATGAAAAGCGCCATGCATTAGTGTGATGTGCCACCAGGTGGTCATCACCTACACTGCAGGGGAAGCATGCTACGTCAAACAGAAAAGATGCACCCAAACCACCTGTATCCAGGTCAACACTACAAGAAATCAACAAAAATCTATAAATGCTTCAAGTTTCATATACTTATTTTATGAGGTAGTATTTAATGCTTTTTAAGAAAGCTTATCACTTTTCTTCATAGAGTATCTTGATGTGAGTTTTAGGCTTTGGGTCAGAAATAGAAGAGTCAGCATAACAGAGAATGGGATTTTAGTAGGAAGAAAACCTTCAGTTTGAGGTAAGAAAATTTGGGTCTGAGTCTAGTCTCTACCACTAAATAGCTGACGGACATTTGGAAATATGTTTCATATCACTGAGCCCAGATCCTTTATCTACAAAATAAGGATGTGCAGACCTACTTTTCTACTGAGGATAAGGTGAGAGAATATATATAAATATGCCTAAAACCAACGAAGAGGCAGAGTGTGGAGACTCATGCCTGTAATTCCAGGACTTTGGGAGGCCAGGGCAGGTGGATCCCTTGAGCCCAAGAGTATGAGACCAGCCTGGGTAACATAGTGAGACCCTCATCTACAGAAAAAGAAATTTAAAAATTAGCCAGGCATGGTGGTATGTGCCTATAGTCCCAGCTACTATGGAGGCTGAGGCAGGAGAGATCACCTGAGCCTAGGAGCACTACACTCCAGCCTGGGCTACAGGGTAAGACCCTGTCTCAAACAAACAAAAAAAAAAAAAAAAAAAAAAAAAAAAATGAGGAGCTGTACGTATTACCTACTATTAAGAAGAAACTAAGTAGGACATATGGAAATTTAAACTGTAATCCTGTTCTCAATCCGGTTTCTAACCAATCATCGACAGAAAATTTATACTATCACAAATAATTTTAAAAAACCAAGCAGATAGCAAGTGTACGCTTTTAAGAAAATGTTCAGAAAGATACTCACATTCTGCCAAACTTCCCATAAATGGTACCCCTATTCCATCTCTGGAGTAACTGAGGAATTGAAGAAGATTAGCGTAAATTACAAATGTGAAAAAAATTGTTCACAATCAAAGCAAGCATAATTTTGGTGGACTAATTAGGATTAATTAGATGTAATGATGAACACAGTTTTAGTGGTTTTGAGTTACCTGGAGAAATGAATGTAATTAGCTAAAGCTGAACCAGCTTGTAACAGCAATGCAGTTGTCAGAACCTTTAAAATCATGTGCATGGGTCCTCCTTTCTTAATAGCCTGCCACAATGATTGAGCATAAATGCAAGCAATCACAAAGTACACTAGGACTAGGAGGAAAAAGAACTCATGTAACCCTGTGAAGAGAAGAAAGGGAGTTTGCTTCAGTAAAACAAAGCCAGTTATCATATTGGGTTGCTTTCAAATCTCCCTGTCAATATATTTCTAGAACTTGTTTTATAACTGGAGTCATCACATTTTTTAACTGGAGTCATAGCATTCACCTTTGTAAGAGAAAAAAAAAATTATTAAAACTTAAACAATTTTGTACCTTGGGGCAAAATTTTAACTACAAGAAAGCAGATGAAACCAAACTAGTTAAGGTCAATCTGTAAGAAAGCATAATGGTCAGGGAAACGCAAAGACCACTCAAAAAATCACAGTTTTGTTTGAAAACAGTAAATGAAAATAATGATTTCAGCATTCAGTTAGGTATACGGTTTACCGCCAAAATGAATTTCTTTTGTAAAAAGTTTAGAAATAGATTAGTTTACAGTCAATAATAGTTTAATATACCCTGACAATGCTTCTCAAAATGTGTTCTCTTGCCCAGCAGCATCACCAGGGAACTTGTTATAAATGCAAATTCTTGAATTCCATCCAGTTTTTGATCTATTGAATCAGAGACCCTGAGTAGAGCCCAGTAACCTGTGCTTTAGTAAGCCGTAAGGGTGATTCTGATAAAGCTAACATGTGAGGACCACAGCTCTAGAATGTCCCAATACCTTGAATTTCCATTTGGACAAATCTTCAAAATACCTGTCACGTCCAGAGACCCCTTCTGAGGTAAACTGTCTGCAGCTCTTGCCAAAATAAAAACAAAAAAACAAAAACCCCCACTAAGGAGATCACGTGACTCCATGCCCGTATTGACTGAAAATTGTTAACACCTAACCAAATGGCTACCAGTGCAAGAGGCCAGCAACATAACAATTCTGCAAGCTAAGTTAAGCTAATCACTTCTCTTAGTACATCAAACTATAAAACGGAAATGAAAGAGGCCATAGAAATCGAAGTTGAAAGGAGCTGAGAGCTGATGTCAGGACAGGCCAGAGGAACCAAATGAGCCATGATAATAATCAAAGTTCTGAGGGAGTAGAAATTACAAGTGAGGAAAGAGAGATGGCTGGCAAAGAACAAAGAATGTGCAGACCTTTATATTAAAAATGGAACCAGTCATTAGAGCAGCCTCTAGTCCCTGCTAGCAGCTTTTTAGTCCAGTCTTCATATAACCTCATGATAAATGTCACTTCTGTTAACTTGAAATCTTTTGACTGAGTCCCCATTTTTCAGAAATTTCAGAAAATTTTTATAGTAAAGCAGCAGGCTAGCTTTGAGTTTAATAGTTAACACAGACTTGGTTACATGTGAAGCCAGTCCTAATATTAAGGTTTTTACATTCTATCTAACACCAAACTGCGAATAGAGCCATCTTGAGTCTGTGGATGAACTTTCATTCCAATTGTGAACACCAAGCCTACTCTAGTTTCCCATTTGGGTAAACTCCAATTAACAGTAAGATAAGAAAATATTTCTATTATGCGGAAAATAATTTTGGAAAAGCAATCAGAAGACACAAATCACAACAATCAATAAATTGTTCAATCATGTTTTGGCCTGGTTGGGGGGAAAAAAGCAGCAGAAAATATTTCTGCCACTGGGTGTCTCTCCTGCTCTATGAATATAAATATGGACAGTTAACCTTTTCTAGTGCAGGTGAAAAAGCATGTTTAGACTTCAGGAAGTGAAGATCAAGTAAAAGAAAGAACATATTTTATTTTTAAACTCCTTACGTAGAAAAGCATTCCAGCCTTAGAAATAATGACAACATAATCCTGGGATTACTATAGCAATGGAACAAGACAGAAAATACGAATGCTAAACACAATGTAACTGTGGGTGAGCAAAGTTCCTTATGCTATCCTGTGTTTCAAATCTTAGTTTTTATCTTTCCTTCTTAGTATTAAAGAAATAAACATGGCATTCAATTTAAAGTTCTATTTATTTATAATATTTTACAGAATATTTTATAAAACAAAATTTCTGACTTATAGGATAAAGTTTCTGACATTAAGTTACAATTCTGAAAATCCTCAGACTACGTACTGAGGAATCAGAACAATGTAGAAGGAAAGGACTCTGGAAAATAAGATGAATGTCACAAGCAAAAAAAATGTTTTAGAATTATTCAAAGTTAATCTTCCAGAAAAAGCTAACATTATAACCAACACAAAAATTATTTCATTGACATATTAAATAAATTGAACTGGGACACGTCCCACACTTTATTCACTAAATTTTAGATGATTCTTACCTTTAACCTGTTCACAAAATGCTAAAAAGATAAAATGCTAGCTCTGTACTCAATGTGCTTTTAAACAAGTCATCTCTTAAAAAAGTCTATTTTTTTGATCATCAGCTACCAACTTTATTTTTTATTTGCCACAAGCAAAAATTGTTCACTTTGAAATTAAACTCACTTTGTGTTCAGTTTGTTTTTGTTCACTTTGAAATTAAAGTCTACTTTTAAAACAGGTGGTTAAATTAACTGTTAACTGAATTAGCAATTGTTAAATCTTATATTTAAGACAATATACACTGAAAAAAATACAGTGAAGAAGAAAAATACTCTTAATGAGCATACAACAGGTGAACACTTGTAAGAAAATGTGTAAGGTTTAAGGCAAGCTTAAAGGAAGCAGCACTGGCAAAATAAAGTAGCAAGAAAACTTAGTGGACAGCTTCAGTAAATTCAGCCCCAGCTAAATGATGGTGAATGAGACAGGAGAGGGTGAGGGAAAAGAGTCCTTGGGTTCCTGGACAGCACCTGGAATAGACATTCCTGCCGACCTTATCTCAGAGCCCCAGTGTGCACCCACACTCAAGTGTCTCAAGATACATCCTGATCAGTCTAAATCAGGCGTCCCCAAACTGCGGCCCGCGGGCCGCATGCGGCCCCCTGAGGCCATTTATCCGGCCCCCCCGCCGCACTTCAGGAAGGGGCACCTCTTTCATTGGTGGTCAGTGAGAGGAGCACAGTATGTGGCGGCCCTCCAACGGTCTGAGGGACAGTGAACTGGCCCCCTGTGTAAAAAGTTTGGGGACGCCCGGTCTAAATCAATCGGAAATTCTCATACCCTTGCCAGTAGGAAGTAAATCTAACCCTTTTGACAGATTTGTCTACGTTTATCTTCTTTCTTCCACGTCAACTTACATTTCTCTTATGATGCTCTGACACAGATCTGAAAAAGGAAATGAGAGAGGAAACTTCTGGGAAAGATTTGCTTCCTCCTCAAGAGACATTGAATTTTGCCATCATCTAAACATGATGCTCAGAACTGCCACGGCTAACTTTGAACTTGAGGCAGCTAGCTTAAGAACAACATTAATAATCTGAGGATAGCAGGGTAGACAGATGCTAAATAAACCACCCTGCAGAAGCCTCAAAACTTCTTGTGGTGTAAGATAATTCATTTCATTACTGTCTACACCACTTGCATTAGGGTTTTCTGTTATTTTAAGCCAAAAACATTCAAACATGTTACCAGGAACATATTACTGAAGCTAAATGGAAGCTCCAACCCACTGTCTTTAGGACATGGAGGGTAAAAGGGATAGCACTAAAGAAAGAACACAGTTCCTTTTGGGCCAGGCGTGGTGGCTCAAGCCTGTAATCACAGCACTTTGGGAGGCCGAGGCGGGTGGATCACGAGGTCAAGAGATGGAGAACATCCTGGTCAACAAGGTGAAACCCCGTCTCTACTAAAAAAATATGAAAAATTAGCTGGGCATGGTGGCGTGTGCCTGTAATCCCAGCTACTCAGGACGCTGAGGCAGGAGAATTGCCTGAACCCAGGAGGTGGAGGTTGCGGTGAGCCGAGATTGTGCCATTGCACTCCAGCCTGGGCAACAAGAGCGAAACTCCGTCTCAAAAAAAAAAAAAAAGAATGAACACAGTTCCTTTTGATTTGGGAAGTGAAAATTAAAGAAAAAGAAAAAAAAATAATGAACATAGCTGCTGGAATCTTAAAAACTGAGATGGCAGATGTGGCAGAGCCTGTAATATTCCAGTGAAAAGCAGTCTACATGTCCTTAGGTAACAACGCTGTCAGGAATCTAGGTACTTCTTGGTCTCTAACTTGAGTACAACCATAGTTAACAAGGATTCTGATCTTTTAAAGAAGTAGTTTTATTTTACCTTAAAGTATTAAAATTCTATTTAGTACTTTGTCAAGTGGCATCACACTTGCCTTACTTTGTTTAATCTAGACCAACTCTGTAAAATAAAGCATTAACCAAAGTCTGGTAGATATAAAATACATAATTGGTTTGAAAGAAAACAAATTACAAATTTTAACCAAAATAACATGTAACAGTAATTGCAGCTATTTGCACCAGGTTATTCTAATTCAAACCTCTGAGACATGTGGTTATAGTCAATTCTCTGTAAAAAGCATAGCAAATCAATTTTTCCTACTTGAAGCAGATAATTAGACAAACTAGCAGAAGTTTCTAAAATGAATTGAAGATTTTCCCTGTAAACAAATACCATACCTGAGGCTCTAGAGTAGAAAGAACCCCTCAAGGCTCTATTTTAGAACACACTACTATAACAGTGTGAAATACGGACTTTTGGATCAGTGTCCTGTACCTACGAATCAGCTTTAGAGCTTTCATTAACTGGCTTCCACTCCAAACCAAATCTGAGTCTCTGGGTGTGAACATCTGAATTTTTGTTTTAAACCTCATAACCTTAAACTAGATGTGACAAATTTACGCTGTGATCTAAACAATCGGTTTAAGCTAAAATGGCCTCACTCCCGCCTCACCTCCAACCACCCCATTCTATGGACAATGGGATACAATGGAATTAATTTTTTCTCTTGAGCAGATTGACTCTTTCAAACAGCCAATGAACTCATCAAGAGATAAACCCTTAACCCTTTTCTTTGACAGATGGCCTACAAATCCTTATTCCAACATGTTCATTTACAAATCAGTTATACTTCATAGCATGCTTATCATGATCATAAGAAGTCATTCATTTCTGCTGGGGCTAGGAATCTTACTTCAGTAGGAAAGAACAGTCATCCAACATTTTGATGAAATATTTTACATGAGTAAGTGATTCTGGGAAGTATTGTAGACTCCGATCATTCCTGAATTGTTGTAAGCTTCAATGAAGGCAATCCCTAAATTTGTTCAAACAACCTAGTAAAGAGTTAACCATACAATGTAGTTCAGTTTCTAATCTGATTTAATCATTGAGTTATCAATTTAAATTGTTCAATTTATTACCATTTTTCTGTTTATAAAAGTAATGCAAGGTTATCATGAAAACAAAAATATTTAGAATGTATAGAAGAAACTAAAAACTACACAACTTGTTTCCTGCTAGGAACCAAAACAAACAAGCAAACAAACAAAACTATACAACTCTATCCACCCAGAGCATCAAAACAATCTGTTAATATTTTTGTACTTCTGTTTTATTCTATGTAGGTTTTAATACAATCAAATAATACTCTGCTTTTAAAAACTAATATTATGGCTATCAAAATGCTGTAAGATTCATTTAACCACTTCTCTACTTTTGCACATATAGGTTGCTTTCATTTTTTATTTTAAAAGAACAACATGAGTATGTTTGTGCATAAATCATCTCCTAAATTTACGATATATTCAAATACATATTCTTACCAGATTCTCCAGCACTAAAATGATCAAATGGATTCCCCTCGGCATCTGGGTTTAGTAACACCATTTCAAATGGGATATCTTCCACCTGAGAGTTCTCCTTGTCATCGTGGCACGTATACTTGTCTGCGTAAAACACATGCCACGTTTGCGGAGATGGTATCTGGGACACTGTCAGATTATGTTCAGTCTGGTTCATGGTCACTTTAAAGAGAAAGAAAACAACACCTATCATAACGAAACTCTCAAATCTGTTGTTTTAGTCATATAATCAATTTGAGGTTAGGACAATCTTTAGTTTTTACTGCCTCAGAAATCCAAGACCTTGTGTAGTATTTGGAATCAGTCTTAAAAATCAGATATTTATGGAATAAATCAAAATTTACCTGCAAAGGAGATAAAAATGATGTTTTAGCTAAGAAATCACTATAAAAGTAAGACTATAAAGCACAAGTGAGTAGAATGGCTCCACCGAAACTCTGAAACTTTTTTTTGTTTTGTTTTCACATTTTTATTGGGAGCCATGGGAGGGGCCGCCTGTCGCTGGAAGTGCTCACAGTTTCTTCAGCCACTCCAAGCTGGAGCCCTGGGGGTTCTGAGGGTGGCCGGGCATGCTGGGCATGTTCCCATCATCGTGACAGGCACTGGTAGTTGTAGGGCATGGCCTCATTGATGATGATGAAGTACTTGGGGTAGGGGCTAAGTGGCAGCAGAATTACAGCGAGGCTCCCAGTGATGAAGGACACAACCAGCACTGGCTCCTTGGCCCAGGCATTCTTGAGGAAGGTGCCAAACCTTGGGGCCATCTTGGTCTTGGCAGGCAAAACTTGAATTTTAATTTTCAATATTTTCAAAGTTTCCAAGTGGGTTAATGACATTCAAAAAAATTATTGTAGTAAAATACACACAAAACTATACAATTCTACCACCCAGAGTATCAAAACAGTCTGTTAATATTTTTGTACTTCTTTCTACCTGTACCATTTTAAGCATTTTTAAGTACTGTCTATGGCATTAAGAACATCCACAAAGCTATGTAACAATCAGTGACATTTTTGAAAATTATTTGAGTTAAATTTTAAATGGGGCATTCAACTTAGGAAATCATTAAATCTAAAAACTATGGCTAATATTTTCAATAGATTTTCCAAAATCTTTTGAAGTAGTATGATATAGTCAGGGGTGGGGGTGTGTGGCATCATTCAGATGTATGTTTGAATCATGGCTTCAATATTTAACTGTTATGTGACCTTGGGCAAGTTATATAAACAGTGACCCTTACTTTCTTCATCTGTAAATGAAGATACTACCTACAGCAAAGAGTTGATGTAAGGACTAAGTTATATGAGTCACCTAGCATGGTATCTGTCACAGCGTAGTTGCTAAATGTCAATTCTGCTTTTCCTTTCTTTAAAACAATATAGTTACACTAATAAGTGATTCTCAATCCAGGGTAATCTCCTTTCCTCCAGGGCATTTGAAAATGTAAGGGGACAATTTTTTGTCACAACAGCTGGTTATACTTGGAGGGAAGCTATGTTCAACCTCATGAAAAGAATTATTCCCCCTAAAATGCCAACAGCATTTCCTTCTGAGAAACAGAAAATGACATCTAAGATTACTTCTGGATCTAAAACAATTAGGTTGGTGCAAAAGTAATTGTGGTTTCTGAATATGACCTGACCTAAGAGGCACTGTCCAACGCTAACACAAAGCTGCCTAGAGGAGGAGTGTCTCAAGTTTTGAGTATAACAAAAAGAGTAGTACAGTTAGAAGAGCAAGTCTTGGCCTTGTGACTCAGCAAATAAATGGCAACCTCTCTAAATGTGTTTCTTCAATAGTAAAATAAAGATAGTAAAATAAAAATAAAGACTCTGCCCTGTCTAGTTCAGAGTTTGTGTGAGGAGGAAACGAAAAGTATATGCAATCTTATGTAAAAAGCATGATTCTAAACAAAGTATTTTTAAAACAGTATTATGATGGGTCTAATCCCCAACTCTAGGTTGCCCCCACAACATGTCAATATTTAAGGACAAATTAGTCTTAATCTTTTTCTCAACTGTAGAAAAAAAATTTTAAATAAATAAAAGACATTTCTTGAGGTAACCAGAAATTTATGTATGGAATAGACTTCAGAGGACAGTATAAAATTATTCATTTTCTTAGGGTATGACAGTTAAACAGATGAAGGTCCTTACTCTTAGAAGATGTATGCTTAGGTATGGAGGGGCAAACTGTTTGTGATACCTGCTACTTATTTTCATATGGTTCAATTAAAACAAATATCACATACATATAAACATAAAGCAAATTTTAACAAAATATAAATAATTATTTAGTCTAACCAGAGGATATACAGATGCTGATTGTACTATAATTTCAACTTTTCTGTATGTTGGGAAATTTTCCCAGTAGAAAGTTGGGAAAATGTTATTTATAGGTTGTCTTTATGAATGAGATTCAGATATAGTTAGAATTGAATTGTGAGGACTCGGACAGTACAAATGGGAATTTCTTTCATTGGTAGTTAAATTGGACAGCAGGATGAGATTAATACAACCATAGCATTGCTTTTTTGGCTACTGTAAGTTAGCGGACATTTAAACTACTTTTTTTTTTTTTTTTTTTTTAAACATACAGCTTCTGGAAAAATGTAGCAAAGACTTTAGTTTCTGTTAAATATTTGAAGACTTTTTAATAAGAATTTAATATATGCTCAATAAATGATTCAGAAATAGGACTGTTTAAATGTGCAATTTGCAATTATATAATCCAGACCTCATTATATAAAGGCTCTGCTGTGTCACTGTTTTTATCATTTGCACTTTTTCTCTTAGACAAAATAATATAAAAAACCACACTTCTACCAATGTACTTTTGATGTTTCATTTTGAATTATGTGGATTTACTTCAAACAGAAATAAAAGTGTGCTTCCTAAAGTGATACCAGCCTTTAGTTTTTGTCTTGCTGTCTTTTCAGCAAGCCTGGGAAACAAGCCTCTTGACAAAACTGTGTGTTCATTGTTTCTGAGACAAAAGACTACAGCACAGCATGCATATTCTATGCTGGTGTAATTAGCACCTCAAATATTAACAAAACTTGAACTGCAGAGAATAGTGTTGAATAGCTAATTGTCCAATCATATTATAAAAGGAAATGAATACTGCTAACCAAAACACACAATAAAATACTAACACCTTTAAATGATTTAAAAAAATATACCAAACTACAAAAGGGATCACATGCATCACTTGTAAAAAGAACACTGAAATGTTTTATATACAATATTCTATTTAGCTCCTGTAATCTGATAGAAAATTCCTCTGAATCTCCATGTTAAATTTTAGATAGAAATACATAAACTCATCATTTTCGGTGTTTTTAAATGTTTTGTTGGCTTGCTTTAAAAATCTACAAAATAGTTTTTAGTATGTTTTAAGTCAGATTTTTATGACAGAACAAAGAGATGACTAAAAAATAATTTCTCAAACATTAATTTGGGAGAGTCAAGCAACATTCAACACTGAGATTTTTAAAATCTGCTGGTTTTTTCATAGTACACAGGGTTTTACATAGGAGCTGGGCATAGTCACCGAGTTCACTACCAAATAGGTGAAAGGCTGTTAACTCTTAAGTCTTATTAACAGCTAGGAAAAGCACTTGCTATAAGGAATTATTCTTAAATATGCATTACTATTACAGTGTCATGAATTTAAGGATATGCCTTTTGTTTAAATGTACTTAAGCTCCCAGATAACATATTATAAATGTGACAACTAATATATAAGTTAGAAACTTAAGATTTGGATTTTGTTATTGGAAAAAAAAAAACTGGTGAAATATATAGAACATACGTAGAAATCAGTACTAAATTTATTGTAGGCTCCAAAATTTGACAAAAAACCTTCACTACTCCCAAATTCCTGTTTCCTGGTATCTTTCATTCCACAATTTTAAAGAATACCTCCGCACTCAACAGAACATAGAAAAGAAAGAGAAAATAGAAAAAGAAACAATAGCAGAAGGTTTTGTTAAGTTGTAGTCCTATACATAAGTAACTCCATCCTTAAGAGTTAGAATGAGAATGGCAGCATTATGGAACTATCATGAACCTTAGGGAAACCTAGTCTAACTTGCTTTTTGTACAGATAAGTAAAATGAGGTTCGAAGATAACACATTATTGTTATAAATCATTCGCATGATTCTCAGTTTTGTGGTCTTCCCATTGCACCTTACTGTCTCCCTGTATACAGAAGTTCTGAGAATACAGGAATATGACTGACACAAAAATGATGTTTTTAAGTATATATAGTATAATACTATATAAGAGAACAAATCAATATTCCTATAGCTCAAAGCTTTAAACTGCTAGTAAGTTTTTATTGGAAACAGAAAAAGTCTTTGAGATGCCAAACACAAAAAGCAAACAGCCTACCAAACAAAAAGCCCGTAAGCATCAAGGTCTATGACTATTCATTCTACAAATACTTAGTAAAAACTTAACTATGCACCAAGGTATCATAAATTCTCATTCTCATGGTGCTATATAATTAGCATTTATAGTGCTTACCAAAATTGCAATTTTACATTTATTCACATTGATTCCCTTCATTCTGGTCACCTCCACCACCAGCCTTAAGAACTGAGAGTGTCAGCATTTTGGTCACGGATATATCACCAGTGCCTAGCATAGTTCATGAAACAATGGAAGTGCTCAGTGAATGAACACACCCAAAGAGCCCTACTGCTCTCATTGACTGATTTTATAACAAATAAATAAAATGTAAAGTGATAACTACAGTAAGGACTGTGCAGGAGAGCAAGAGGCTATAAAAACTTAGGTGTTAACTTAATCAAGGGAGGAACCAGAGGGGAGGCTGAAGACGAAAAGCCTATGCCAAGGCTCAGGATGGCACTGAAATAAAATGCAGTGAGTGGGGCAATGCCCTAAGATGAAACGGAGGGGTAAGCAGCAGCCAGTCTATGACAGCTTTGCTGATCAAGTTAAGGAGGCCTATCTTTGTCCTAAGAGCAGTGGGAAACCATTTATTTTAAGGGTGTGGTGAGGAAATGAATGTAACATAACCAAATCTGCTCTTTAGAAAGATCTAGTTACAGAAGCGGGACCAGCATGGCTATAGGATTGCCATGCAGGAGACTGCTGAAATAGTAAAGGCAAGAGATTATGGCAACTTGGAATAACACAGTGGGGGTAGAGAGGAAGACAAGTAGATGAATTCAAGAGATATTCAGAAGTAAATCCTCAAGACACTGATGGATGGGGGAGGTAGAAAGGTCAAAGAGGGGAGTATTAGAAGACACCTTGGTTTCTCAACTGTTTACTAGATGGATGGTGGTGTCAGCTCTTAAAACAGGAAACACTGGAAGAGGACCGGGTCTGGATGGGGAAGATGGTGAGTTCAGTTTAGACACTAAAGGAATTGGGAATGGAGGGACATGACCTTATACATATATGTGGAACACTTAGATTAGCAAATTTTATGCGGGACACTTAGATGAGCAAATTGGCAGAGAAAGGAAGAGATGACTGAGAATGAAAATCTGCATACATTTCCCAGGTAAGTTTTGAATTCAGGGTGGAAGTAATTTTATGTAATTGTCTCTTTGATATCTGAATCCAATCATTCATCTTTCAGGATACTATCTTCTCACAATGTCATCTCACAAATCTGTATTAAAGATCCCCACAATGGGTAGCAAGGAGTAGGGACCTCTGCTCTTATCACTGTTCCAGCTAGTTGCCTTACAAGGGAATCAGACAGCTGCTAAGTTAAAGAATGGATGTTTAGAAATGAATGTTTCACTAAACTAGGCTAAAAGAAGAGACTACCATGTTCCACATATGGATGAGTCCCTGAATAATAAGGGGAAAGATGAGAAGAGGAATAATTCCCATTGTTCCTCATGGATGCTTCAAATTCCTAATGTCTCCTACAACTTATTAACTTGCAAGATGCAAAATGGAAAAAATGGCACATGTCCTTCATTTCCATATTTTAAAAAATTTTCACTCCCTCTGGATGGCTAACACCCTAATGCATGGGACAATGTTGATGAGAATGAATGAGATTGCAGATTTTAGGCCTTAGATTAAGATTTTAAAAGTACAGCCTCTCTAGAGGCAAACTCAGAAGTGTACAAATGATGTGGTGCTGGTACATCTCAAAGTGACTTTTTTTTTTTTTTTTGAGACAGAGTCTCACTCTGTCGTCTAGGCTGGAGTGCAGTGGTGTGATCTCAGCTCACTGCAACCTCTGCCTCCCAGGTTCAAGCGATTCTCATGCCTCAGCCTGCTGAATAGCTGGGATTACAGGTGTGCGCCACCATGCCCAGCTAATTTTTTTTTTTTTTTTTTAGTAGACACAGGGTTTCACCATGTTGGCCAGGCTGGTCTCAAACTCCCAACCTCAGTTGATCTGCCCACCTTAGCCTCCCAAAGTGCTGAGATTATGCGGGTGACTGCACCTGGCCGTCAAAGTGACATATTGTATCACCATATAACTAAGTCTCATGTTCGAATGACATGTTGTGAAACAGCATCACTCAAGCTAAATTATCCAATTAACTAAGATAATACATGTTTAGCATTTAGCTCAGTGCTGGTAGATAATTAGCATTCAACAAATGTTACCATTCATTCTATGCTGCCACTGGATCTAAGTATATCTTCCATACTGGCATAAATTATGCAAACTGTAAAGAGTTTGAACGAAGGATTCCTTTGTAAATTACCTGGAACTTTTTTTTTTTTTCCAGAAAATGATGAATGATACAGAGGGAAAAGGCATTCTTAAATCTCAGCTTAAAATGTACTAGACAAAGTATCATCACAGTGGGATGTATGCCGTCATGAAACATCTTGGTATGTACATATGGTACAATATTTCAACATTAGGAGGAAAAAAAACTATATCTAATGATCAAAGGAAAAAGGATATACTCACTTGTCAACTGAGCTTTGGATAATTTTTCACTACAGCTATAACCATGACTGCTTTCCTGTAGCTTTAGCCATTCCTGAGCTTGGAACAGGTAGAGTTTAGCTTCTTTTCCAACAGCTACTGCTATGTTGTTGATTCTGACACACAGAAGAGCATGGTCACCTTGACATTAAAACAAAAATTATCAACTAGTTCAGTCCTACATGAAACTCGAGACACGAGGACAACTCAACACCTCTACTTACCAAAATGAAATTTAAAAAGCACAGTTCTTCTTAAATCTTGCTTAACTAGGTAAATCACATCAGAATGACCACCACATTCAGATGCAAGAGATTATTCAAATTAATGTGTGGTATTTCCTTGTAATTCAGCTGATAAGCGATCATATTTCACTCAAACAGCCATATCTGGGGTATTCAGACAATTCACTGTATTTAAAATTCTGCCTCACTTTAACAACCACTTCACATGTTTTACATTTTATTAATAATCTATAGAAATGTCCTACCAAAGTTTCTGTTTAATATAACATAGGTGTTAATATTTAATTATACTCAATATAAAAAATAAACATAGCTAATAGCAGGAAAGTTTAAATGTATGTGTTCTAGGATAGACATACTATACCTAAAACAAAATTTGGTATCTGACTTTTACAAAAGAACTTTCAGGAGCACGGCTCAGTGGCCACGCCCACAATCCCAGAGCTTTAGGAGGCCATGGTGGGAAGATCCCTTGAGCCCAAGAGTTTGAGACCAGCCTGGGAAACAAAGTGAGATCCTGTTGCTACTGGAAAAAAAAAAAATTAGCTGGGCTTAGTGTTGGTGGCTGAACCTTTAGTCTCAGCTACTTGGGAGGCTGAGATGGGAGAATGGCTTAAGCCTGGAAGTCTGAGGCAGCACTAAGCTTCAATCACACCACTGCACTCCAGCCTGAGTGACAGAGCAAAAAAAAAATTTTTTTTTGACAGTGTTACTCTGTCACTCAGGCCAGCGTGCAGTGGCATGATCTGGGCTCACTGCAACCTCGACCTACCAGGTTCAAGAGATTCTCCTGCCTCAGCCTCCCAAGTAAGAGTAACTAGGATTACAGGCATGAGCCATCACACCTAGCTAATTTTTGTATTTTTAGGAAAGACAGGGTTTCACCAGGATGGCCTTTTAATTTAATTTTATTTGAGACAGATCTCACTCTGTTGCCCAGGCTGAAGTGCAGTGGTGTGATCTTGGCTCACTGCAACCTCCACCTCCCTGGTTCAAGCAATCCTCCTGCCTCAGCCTCCCGAGTAGCTGGGATTATAGGCAGTAGGCACCATGCCCAGCTAATTTTTTGTTTTTAGTAGATGAGGTTTCACTGTGTTAGCCAGATGGTCTCAATCTCCTGACCTCGCAATCCACCCACCTCGGCCTCCCAAAGTGCTGGGATTACAGGCTTGAGCCACCACCGAACCCAGATTCTTTTTTTTTTTAAAAAAAAAAAAAACTTTCAGAACAATATATGTTGTAAGATGAATACAGAATGAACCTGGTGGCACACGCCAATTACATTTAAGGCCCAAAACAGAAATGGCAGTAAGCTATTGTCTCTAGGGAAAGGGACTGGGTGAGAGTGGTAAAACAGGAGACTGTTTTTCATTTTAAGATCTTCCGTTCTCATGGAAAATTTTTTTTCTATGCTTTTGTTACTGTAATTACGTTGATTAAATATTTTAAGTAATTTAAATATACAGTATATAGATCAAAGAACGTGTAAGTCTCTTACATAAATTGATTACATATTATGAAGCCTTAAAAATGACTCTGAGGCCCAATTAACACTGTAAATTGCATTCTGAGTTACAGTTCATTATTTCAGTATTTACTGAACTGGGATTCACGAAAATTGGTAATAACTAAATATTCATATATTATTTTATACATATGAAAAAGAATGAATGTACTTGAAACACCTTATCCCCAATCTGTCTTGAGAAATCTCAATTTAGTACATGTTTCTCCTCCATGTTTACCAAATGATCATCATGAACTATATGAGGTCATCCAAGTCTCTGTGCTGGTCCTAAGTAATGACCCATGTCTTCTATATATCCCAGATTTTCTAACACTGTCCATATTGTGCCATTTAATATAGTGGCTGTCAATACTCAAAATAAGGTTACAGTCCATTGATTGGGAAACTCAAAATGTGATCAAAAATAGTAAAACTGTTTCTAGTATTTCTTCTTCATTCACTCAAAACATATTCTACATTGGATTTTGAAAAACTGGGTTTGCTGAAAGTCCTTTTCTTGGCTATCTTAAAAACTTAACAACAACAATCAGTTCTGTAATTTCCCAATACTTTAAATTCCGTTTCTCACCAAAGTAGCTCCTAGTTTCTATTAGCTTCTCTTACGAATATTTTCTAGGTCAATATTCTGATGTTCATCGCTGCATCTTTTAATGCTAAAGACTGTACAAACCAAAGATCCTAATGTCATCAAGGCGAATTACTGAAATACAGTACTAGTCAAATTCAAAGTACTAGTGAGGGTACAAATGAGACCAAAATTAGAATGAATTGCAAATTCACTTATTGATGGAATAATTGCTGATTTTTTAGGGCGACCAAAAGGTAAGAATCAAATGCAACTCTGATTTCAGAAGAGCCACACAGAGCTTCCAGGACGCTACTTAAATGCATTTTCATCAACTTCATTCTAGGCCTCACCGCCTATAGTAAATCTACTGCACTAGTGGCCGAGTAACCAAACTGTTCAATATGACAACTACAGTATCAGGTGTTTTACTTGGTTTCCAAAACCACTCGGCTGCAAGTAGGTCTCAGCAAATTGGTCTTCAACAAAAAAAAAAAAAAAAAAAAAAAAAAAGGAAATTTAAGTTGCTAGGCTTTAATTCTCCCGCATCTATATAGTACGTCAGTGTACACAGTGTGGCCGAGACAGGAGGGAGCAAACGTGCTTCTTTGGGGGAAGGATCTGGAAAGATGAGGCCGACCACTCATCTGCACATTGGGTTGCAAGGAGAGGGCTGGAGAAAAGGAAACCGGCTTCTAGGTGCAGAATACGATCACTAGTGGCGAGAGGCCGCTGAGCTGCCTCGGGCTGGGAAGCTGCATCAGCGGGGTTGGCAAGGAACGCATCCCACCATTCCCGGCAGCCGCGGCGACGCTGGAGGTCCAGGTGAGGCTGGGGAAGTCGCAGACCTCGCCCAGCGTGGCGGGGAGGAGCCGGGGAGGGGCGGCCGGCGGACCCCGCCGGCGGGAAGGGCCGGCGCGCCTTCATCCCTCTCCCCGCCCCCAGACCTACCGTGGAACTCGAAGTGGCCGATGCGCTGGCCCTGGGCGTCTTGGGCCGCGGTGCTGCTGAAGCTGCCCCGCAGGGTCTTACCCTGGCTGCCCTGCGGCCACCAGCAGCACGTCAGGGCCACCGCCAGCAGCCGCAGCCCCCCCATGCCCGCCTCCCGCTCCGCACAGACGCGGCGGCTCCCAAACGCCGGTTGCTGCCCGCCCCACGTAGGCAGCTGGGGGAGGCGGGGTCGGCGCTGGAGACCTGCTCCCCTAGAGCCTGAGAGCCAATCAGGCGGGCTCCTCTGACAGGAGCCGCGGATATTCACCAATGAGAGGCCGAAAGGGGCGGGACGAGCAGATCCGAGCGTCCCATCACTCCCCGGGTTTTGACTAGTTCCCGCCTTTTTCTTTAATGAGGAATCAGGAGGACGTAGCTTCAGGTTACGGAAAACTCATCCCCCTCCTCATCGCCTAGGACGTCGTGCTACTGCGCATGCGGCGGCCCGCTGGCACGAGTCCGCGGGGCCTTCGAGGGGCATGTGGGGTTCGGAAGAAACTTCAGAAACGCCAGGACAGGGCCCGTTTCTGGTCGAGAGAGGAAAACACCTGCAAAGAAAAAACCGTGTTCGTAAGCAGCTTTTCTCCCTCGGTGCCCGTATAACCTACAGGACGTGTCCGATTCAATGCCTCAAAGACACTTGGCTCTGCATGTCCACAGTTTAACACATGATTTGTCTTGACATCTCCGACCGATTTTTCCCTCCTAGGCTCCCTGGCTTTTCAAATCACATTATCCACCCGCCCCCACCCCATGCCCGACCAGACCGCTGGCAATTGTAGCGCCCTCCCTCTCCATTCAATCAATCCGATTACAAGTCTGGATTAGCCCCTCTTCTGGTGAGGATGGGAAGCAGCAGCCGCAGTCGCACTCGGGCCAACACTTTCTCGGCCTATGGCAAAGACCGCCCTCCAGTCTTTATTCTCTCTGGTTAGCTACAGTCCATCTCTACAGCAGGAAACAATTTGCAGCACTTGCTTTCAAGGATTCTCAACCGCCTTTAGCACACAACCCGAACTCTAGAATATGGCTCTACAGCCTCTCAAATGTCAATTTCTTCTCATCTCCATCCTTAGCACCATCTGTTTCATAAACACTCCCAAGCTCTCCCTTCTAGGCCTCTATCACTCCCTGATCCCTCTGGCGGGAATACTTCTGCTCGTTCGCTCGTTCCCCCACTGGACCTCCTCACCTTCCTTTTCCTCCTTTACTCCTCCTTCCCAAGGCACTTTAAGAAGCCTCCTTCCCAAGGCAGTTTAAGAATCTTTCTCAAATCCCCAGATCTCAAACTCGCCAATTCTGGAACCAGAATCCCTTACTTGCCTACCAGAGCACTCATGCACTGTTTAAGTATTCACTCATGCTTCTGAAATCTCTGCCTATACTGTCAGCTCCAGCTGACTATACCTGTCTCAGTGAAAGTGAGGAAGGAGTATAGGGCCCGGGGGCAGGGAACCTAAGGCCTTTTCACGCCTAAGTAACAAAAGAACCAGAGGCTACCCCTTTGCAAATCCCCAGCTTTTTCTTGAGGCAGACAAGAAATTGGTTGTCCCCAAGCAATCAGACTGATTGCCAGCTGTCTTTGTTTGCATAGAAGTGCAACTTTGTAACTGTGTAACATTGCTTTTTGCAACCAATCAGATGTTTGCAAAGGAGTGTGACCTTTGTAATTCCACTTCAGCCTCTGATTAGTTGCTTTGAGTAACCAATCAGACCGACTGGGTCCACCACTTCAATTTACATGAGGTGAGCTCCAAGTGGCCAATGAGAAACCTCTCAGGGGTGTTTGGACCCGAGAAGATTCTGTATCTGGGCCCTTCAGCGCTGCTCTGGACCCATACTGAGGAGTGTACTTTCCTTCTTCTTTTTTTTTTTTGAGACAGAGTCTTGCACTGTCACCCAGGCTGGAGTGCTCTGGCACAATCTTAGCTCACTGCAGCCTCCACCTCCCAAATTCAAGTGATTCTCCTGCCTCAGCCTCCTGAGTAGTTGGGGTTACAGGTGTGTACCACCACACCCAGCTAATTTTTGTATTTTTAGTAGAGATGTGGTTTCACAGTGTCGGTCAGGCTCATCTTGAACTCATAACCTCAGGAGATCTGCCCACCTAGGCCTCTCAAAGTGCTGGGATTACAGGTGTGAGCCACTGCCCCTGACCATGGACTTTCATTTTCAATAAATCCCTGCTTCCGTTCTTTCACTGCTTCATTTTTTGCTTGCTTTTTTGTGTGTTTTGTCCAATTCTTTGTTCAAAACGCCAAGTACCTGAGCAACTTGCAGTCAAGACCCTCCACCAGTCACAAAAGTAGGAGCTAAAAATTATTTCAGGAATACATGTATGCAAATTATTTTCATTCAACAACAAGCTTCTATAACATATAAGCAAGTTCTCAAAACAGACTTCATTATTAAAAAAAAAAAAAAAATCTTGAGGGATCACTCCTACCATATACCCAGTATCTTCAGTATTTCTGACTGACCAGGAATATGCTGGAAGTATTAATTGGATAAAAAACTGCAATGGTTCTTTATTATAAAAGTAATTCATGTGACTCAGAAAAAAACTTACAGTCAAAAGTAGATAAAGTGGGCTGAGCTCGGCTCACACTTGTAATCTCAGCACTTTGAGAAGCCAAGGCAGGCAGATCACCTAAGGTCAGGAGTTGAAGACCAGCTTGGCCAACATAGCAAACAAAACTCCATCTCTACTAAAAATACAAAAACTAGCCAAATGTGGTAGCACATGCTTGTAATCCCATCTACTTGGAGGCTGAGGTGGAAGAATAGCTGGAATCTGGGAGGCAGAGGTTATAGTGATCCAAGATTGTGCCACTGCACTCCAGTCTGGGCCACAAAGAGAGACTCCATCTCAAAAAACAAAACCAAAAAAAATGTGTATAAAGTAAAAAGAGTCCCCATATCCTCCTTTCCCTGCCTATATCCCATCCCCAAAGGTAACTTCTTTTAAGAGTTTAGGGTGAATCCTTTCAAATAACCCTTTACAAATATATGTGGCATTTGTAAACCAAGGACCGGAATAAAATTGCTTCTGAAAAAAATCATAACATAGGCCTTGAATGCTGGTAAGCCTCTCCTGTCTTTTCTTTCTTGTCAATCAACTTTGTTTTTCTCACTGTGAGGACAGGTTTTTGGGCTACTCCATTACTTTTTTTTTTTTTTTTTTTTTGAGACAGAGTTTCGCTCTTGTTACCCAGGCTGGAGTGCAATGGCGCGATCTCGGCTCACCACAACCTCCGCCTCCTGGGTTAAGGCAATTCTTCTGCCTCAGGCTCCTGAGTAGCTGGGACCTCAGGCACGCGCCACCATGCCCAGCGAATTTTTTGTATTTTTAGTAGAGACGGGGTTTCACCATGTTGACCAGGATGGTCTCGATCTCTTGACCTCGTGATCCACCCGCCTCGGCCTCCCAAAGTGCTGGGATTACAGGCTTGAGCCACCGCGCCCGGCCCTACTTCATTACTTTTAAAGAACATGACCACCAAAAAGTTCCAGCTTTGTAGGACCTCATGAAGAGGGAGATCCAGGCATCTCAGATCAACTTCCTCTTTCCATTCCTAAGACTGTAAGCTTCCCCTTTTCATTCCTAAGACTGTAAACGGAAGCCCTTTTCATATATAATTATAAGACTGTAAACTGAGACCCTTTTCATATGTAATTCCTAAGACTGCAAACTGAGACGCTTTTCATATGTAATTCCTAAGACTGTAAACCGAGACCCTTTTCATATATAATTCCTAAGACTGAACTGACACCCTTTTCATATGTAATTCCTAAGACTGTAAACTGAGGCCCTTTTCATATGTTAAGCTATAAACCTAAGATTCTTCCACTTGTAACAACTAAAGTATAAGCCTACATAAAGAAGGAACCTTCCTTTGTTAGGCAAGCTTGGCTATTAGGCAAATATGCCACCTTGCTCCTGGCTGAATAAACGCCTTCCTCCAATATTCGGTGTCCGAGAGATCCATTTCCTGCGGCTGCTCCTGCAACATTTTAGTGTGTTGGCCGGGAAGCGAGTCTCAGATAGCAGACAGCGGGAAAAAGTCTCTTAGGTGGTTTGCCTAGCCCTGTGGAGCATCCCTGCAGGGGGACTCCTGCTTCCTGGGGTGACGCATCCTAAGAGCGCTCCTGGGCAGATATTTGCCTGGTGGAAAAGCCTCGCCAGAGCCGAGCAGGGAGGCCTTGCAGTTCGGATCCACCCAGTGGCTGAACATCAAGGAGGAACAAGCATTTGGGGAAGTCCAGCTCACTGAATTTGGTAAGATTGCACCTGGGAAAGTAGCCCACCCCGTTTTGGGTGAAAGTGTGGCCTGATCACCCACAGCTACTGAATACTGCAGACCAAACCTCTACCCACTTGGCTATCTTGCCCACCTTAGTTTCAAATGCTCCCCTGATCATCCCTCCCTGCTCTCCCACCCCTGAATTACCAAGTATATACAACTAAAAAAAGCATGTAGAGCCCAGAGCTAAGTGCCCACGCAGGCCACCCCTCGAGAGTGTGTGTTGGACCCCTGGAACCATGTGAACTTCTCTTGTGTCTTTATTTCTTTTTCTCACTACTCAGCACCACCGGGACATGGGGCACCCAGGCACAGGCTTGGGCTGGTTCCCAACAGCCTCAGGGCCTAATTTTTCCCTTTTTGTGGTTTTTCAGTTATTTCAGACTTTCTATTTCCAGGAACTCATCTGGAGGTATACATGCAGGTCACAGAGGTTACCATGTAGTCCATGGCACTGTGAGTCAGCCTAAAAGACTTTACAATTTTGGTTTTAATTCCATGTTGGTATATTCTTTTTTAAGGCTATAAAACACATTTAGATGATTTCCAGTGTTTCATTATTGCAAGCAATACAGCTATGAACAATTATCTATATTATACATGATGGAATTTAGGGGGGTCATAGAATAAGCACATTTGAAATTTTCATATATATTACCACTTTGCCCTGTAAAAGGGTTGTGACATGATACTTTCACATATACACCTGTATTGGATGTTTCCATTCATTTTCAGCTTTGGCAAACATTATATTGGGGGGGGGGAAAGATACTTATTCACCTATTTGACAATAGTTAATGGTCATTTGTTCTGTGCCAAGTCTCTAAGGACTTGGGCTTACAGCAGAAAACAAAACAAAACCCCTGACCCCATGGAACACTAAACAGAGGGCAGTCACATCAATGTAAATGTTGAGTGCTAGGAAAAAAAATAAAGAAGGGAAAGATGATTCAGCAGGGTTGGGTAGAGCTCCCTATTTTAATTGTGGTGGTCAAAAGGATGACATTCGCCGGGCGCGGTGGCTCAAGCCTGTAATCCCAGCACTTTGGGAGGCCGAGGCGGGCGGATCACGAGGTCAAGAGATCGAGACCATCCTGGTCAACATGGTGAAACCCCGTCTCTACTAA